GTTTTCTCCCTCGCACATTAACATTTCACTGGTGAATTAACATTGCACATTTCTTCAGTCTTGCTTTAGTTGTCGCACGCCCAGTGTGCATTAGGCGAACATGCATATGAATAGTCACATTCATTTTCGTCGTGTCCTTTCTTACAATACCCTTCTGTTTTGCTCTTTATAAATACTCGCACCTTTCAAAACTGTGGTAATGTCGTGTGTCAATATAACAAATAGATTCCATGTTGCCGTGTGTCTGTTCAGTAGTAGATCACAGATGACGTCAAAATGTGGTAAAAACAAAGAAGTGGCACACGAGCCGCAGGCGAGTGTGTCAGTGATGTTTTTAACACATTTTGACGTCTTCTGTGATCTATAACTAAACAGACCCACGGCAACATGGGATTTATTTGTTTTATACAATGCTCAGAAATGAAAAAAGACCGATACACCTACAATGAGGGACAAAAGTGTAGACACACTTCCGAAAAATGGCCCCTTTTTGCATAGTGGATATACTTATCCCCTTCCCCTGTCTACCCCTACCCCTTCCCCCCAAAATCAATGTTGAATTTTAGACCCTCAAGTCTTTTTTTTACTTCAGACAACATTGATTCGGGGGGTCGGGGGATTTACGGCGTTTAAAAGGAATGAAATAATAAATGAATTAAATGTTTGTTAAAAGCACCCGTTTTAAACAAGTGTGTCAACTACTTTTGTCCCTGATTGTCTGAAATATGTATCTGTGTTTTCCGGCTAGATTTTGGACGCTGCTGAATTTTTGTGCGATGATGTTACTCTATGGACCAAATTGTTTGTTTATAAACAACAATTTGAAAAGTTTGGTCCTGATTTGTAGTATACGTAGAGTAAAATGTACGAAGCGTATGTCATTACTTAATCTTGTACTCCCGCGCGCGTTCCTGATACCCTGTCGGGTCGAGAGGAAATCATTTGTGTTGTGATCAATGCCGCTGCTGCGGATGTAATTTTTTTTACAAGTATTATCAATAGTGGAAAAAGGATGGAAACACTAAGGTACAATGAAAATTGTTCTGGTAAATGGTTAACTTAAGCGAATGAAGTACTGCAACATGCAGTATTGTTGACATTGACTTGTGCCATTAGTGAAAGGACGTGAACAATATACAGGTTATGAACCTCATAAATGATGAGCCAGTCGTTTGTGCTATGCCCTATAAATAGATGTTTTTTTTTTTTGGAAGACCTTTTCAAATCTAGCAGATCCAAACCTTTAGCGTGTGTAGGCGTCGAACAGGTTAGACCAGGTTAGGAATGTACTTTTGTAATGATTTTAGATGACCGCCTGCCATTTATTCAGTGGCATTTTTTTTATTGGTGTTGGGTGGACAACTATTTCATTTCCCAGCTCGTAAATCACAGAATACCAAAGAAATTGTTTTCAAGATAGACACACCGGTTTGTATCATCTCCAAAACAGCAATTACTTTGGCCCAGAAGTTCACTTGATGACAAGGAAAGCGGGATAACACGTGATCGATGACGGCCGTGCTCTGGAAAATCTTCCTTTTTTATGCGCTAATTCCTCACAAAAGGCAAAAGAAGATTCCGCTATGTAGAAAGTACTGCGCAATACGTATTCTTGGCGAGAAAAATTCCAGCGATGTGGTGCAAATAAGGAGTTTCAACGGTTAACCACGAGAATACATATCGACATTAAGAGGTCATAACAGACTTACTATGTTACTTTCCGTTTGCCGAAACTTGGTTAACCGTTGTAACACGAAGGAAGCAGTGTTTTTCTCAGTTTGAGCTGTCGTTTTCTTTGAGAGTCAATCACCAGTTCACGTTTCAAAGCTCTCTTTTCATTTTCTCTCCCGACAATAGACAACAACACAGGGTTTCGCTTGAGAAATGCAGTCCAAATACACAGACATATGCGCTCATGTCACGCTATTTACGTTGCGTTATCATGTCACACAGGGTGTTACGAGGTGGGATTGAAAGTAATTGTTTTCGTGTACACTTGCAATGTTTGCTACGCAGTCCTTAGTTTTTTATTGAATTGACCATGAATTTACCCTCACTTTTCCGTAGTTTCGATATTGAACGCAGTGACGGCGGCTCCTCACTAACGTTCCATATTTCCGTGACTGGCCAGTGACTATCTCCACTACGTGTCAATCCTTACCCTCCCCGTGATTGTTTGCGCCTTAACAATCGGATAAAGTGAAGAACGAGAAATGTTCACTTTATTAAAAATATTTTCAGTACGCATACCCTTGAAATTCATCAAAAGTTGTACATGTGTGCGAGTTTCAGCGTCAGTTTTTAGCATGTAAACCATATCGACGTTTATTCTGGATATCGCAGCCCTTTTACAACGTCATCACTTAATTCGAATTGGCCCTATAATTCGGTCGTGAATAAGTCAATGTCACCCCCACCACCAATAACATAATTATGTCATAGATTCCTTTAATTTCAGTTAAAATCAGTGTCATACACGGCTCAACTTGTGTGCAGTAGCACAATTTTGCATTCAGACAATGAGGGACAAAAGTGTTGACACACTTCCGAAAAATGGCCCCTTTTTGCATAGTGGATATACTTATCCCCTTCCCCTGTCTACCCCAACCCCTTCCCCCCAAAATCAATGTTGAATTTTAGACCCTCAAGTCTTTTTTTTACTTCAGACAACATTGATTCGGGGGGTCGGGGGATTTACGGCGTTTAAAAGGAATGAAATAATAAATGAATTAAATGTTTGTTAAAAGCACCCGTTTTAAACAAGTGTGTCAACTACTTTTGTCCCTGATTGTACCTGCCTGGTACCGCTTGACTGTTCGAGGATTTGTGCTAGTTTAGGTATTTTTTATGTCCCAAACGCTACTTTTCGTCTTACTTGTATACAGTTTCTTCGAAAACTTTTGCAACGTCTTTTCTTGCTCAAAGCAGAATAATGGCGAAAAGATTTTGCAAAACAGCGAGTCTCTTAGCGATGACACACGATGGCAACTGTTGTGAAGATTTCTTGTAGTTTGGGCATTCTCAAGTTGTAAGTAGCTGTAAGACTTTTAAATTTTGTCTCCGTTTCTCCATTTTTTTTCTTTGTAAATAGCTCCTGCTAAGTTTTTTTTTTCGAGGCTTTCACTTGTTTAAATCCAAAATAATCTCATAAAAATTTTCAAAACCGCGTGCCATGTTGAACAAAACAAAGAAAAGAAGTTTCCCGTGACGGCATCCACGTATCCGTACTCTTATAGATCATGGACAACGACCAATCACAGCGCGCATAGCATTCACATCATTGTAGAAATGTAGTTAGACCATTTGTATGCAAAATGTTAAAATATGGGATGCACAAATTAAATTTAAGCTACGATAAACGTGCGACCCAAACGGCATTTTGTTTTACAACACCGCTGCCAAAGGAGTTACGAGCGATTTTGCGGGTTTTACTATCCACGAATCAAGCCTCCCTTGCTAACATTACCCAGCGGACGCAGACGTATTTCTGGTCGACGCTTCTCTCCACTTCAGTTTTTGAATGTTGGGAAGCGACGACTGAAAATACGTCTGCGTTTGCTGGCTAGCAAAAAATCAGTATTTTTGCAGGTTACGAAAAGATGTTGAAATAGTAAAGCTTCACTCCCTTTTAGGGTATGGAATACAGGGTGTCCCAAAAATTCGTTCCTCTACTTTAGAAGTCTGTAACGCAGTACGATAGGACTTGATAAGCAAATAGTTTAAACAAAAGTTTTGTCTTTCAATCTAATTTATTATTTCATACTTGTTGTGCCATCTTTTGACTCGAATCAATTCGATATGTGTAGTTTCGCGCCAAAGGTACACTGCGCGAGTAAATTTTCCCGCCACATATTTTTCGTATTTTGTAGCCCGAATTGTTCTAACTCCTTTTTTGTTTTTGTGAATATCATTAAAGATAAACCCTCTCAACGGAAAAACACTCAGCTACCTAAGAGCAGAAACATGTATTCTTCGACCTACTGGCTTATCAGTTAAAGAAATTACTAGAAAAAATGGAAAAATACGAATGTTAGGTGGTAACATAGTCATAGAGAAATGGAGGTTTTAAAGACAAGAAACAAGGGGGAAGACCGCAAGTCCTGAATAAAACCGCTATAATAGTTTTAAAGAAGGCTAGGTACAAAAGAGGAAACCCGACGAGGTAGCTGTCACAACAGTTAGCAAGTGTGGAGCGCGGTTCATGAAAAGTAAAGTTTGGAGACCCCAGAGTTGGCAAAAAAAACCCTGAACCTAGTCCGCCAAGCCACGTTCAGCTTGTCTCAAATTCGTAAAGAAGTACAAAAGCCTTACTGTGGTAAAGGGCCGGGATGATTATCTTTTCTTGGATCAATGCCCCAAATATTTTTTTTCAGCTGCCTAGTGTAAAAAAATTATATATTGTTTGGGAGTCCAAGTGGCTTCTGCATACCAGGCGATAAAAAAGCTTAAAATGAATCATCTGGGGCTCTACACGCTACATGACTTATCCCACTCAATGCCGCAACTACTACAGAGTGTGAAAAAAAAAAACAAAAAAAACAAAAACAAAGGGGGTATGCCGGTTACTGAACTTCTGAATACATGTTCCCGATAGAGCAATAAACATCTTTTCGAAATCTCATGTAAAAATAGAGTTTTTATTAAAAGTTTTAGCTCATGAAATTAGAGGAACGAACTCTTGGGACGTCCTGTAGAGCACTATCAGCTATTATATAACCCTGAGCGAATTAGTGCGTTATATTCCTCCTATTATCATTTATATTCAGTTGTTTGTGTTTTCCTTGAACCCATGAGTTTTCCCAAATTTCTTATCTTGGCGCAAAGCGTGCTTAAGTTGCTAAACAAACTTCTTAAGAGTAAAGCGCGGGTGTCGCCCAAAAACGAAGATTATCATTTCCATATTTTGTATCTCATGATATTACCCTACATATAGTAAGCTTACCGGAAATTACATCCCTAATTTTTTTACCTTCTTTTTAGGAAATTAACAAGAAGGATTGATGGCCCAACACCAAGAGCTTAACAGAAAGGTAGATGTTCTTGAACTGCTGGAAAAACATGATACTCCACCTCTTGTTTCTACTGAAGTGCCCAAGATGTGTGACCTTCCTAACAAGTCCGAGCCTTGGAGCGATGATTGGCTCCCAGTTGACATCCTTTTGTTGACCGTGGAGGACTGTGAGTTCTTAGCATGTTACGCTTTCATGAAAAATCGCTTTAGAAGTTATCACAAAGACCTTGGATTTGTTTACTTCGGAAACGTGTGTGAAAGTGAGAGCGAACAACTGAAGGTCGCCCTGATGAAGTGTTGTGAAGGTTCTTCCGGTCCAGGTGGCTCGCTAATCGTCACCAAAAATGCAGTGGCGCAACTGAGACCTAAAGTTGTTTATTCTGTTGGCTGCTGTGAGAGTCTTAAACCAGACACGGTGAGGTTAGGAGATGTTGTGATATCCTCAAAGCTTTCTACCGAAGCCTTCAGAACTCCAGTGGGAAAAGATATTGGAAAACTCATTCAGCATTCAAGTGATGGCTGGAATCCACCATTGAAAATTCCAAACGCTCGTGAAGTAAATGTGCACCGTGATGGCGAGATATTGTCTGGTGTGGGTCCACCTAGTGCTAAACTGTCATGTGTGTCCAACTCAAATGCGACTGCTGTTGAATCAGAAGGAGAAGGTTGGCCTTATTTTTGCTTTAAAGCTGATAATTTATATTATTTGTCTACGGCTGTGTACCATTTGCAGCTCAAATTCCATTGTAGTCCTCAACATGTTTAACAGGGGCACCCAACGAGAGTATAGTTCAAAACCACATAAACATAGCATTGTTGAATGTACTTTAGTATTTAAACGGTAGATAAAGGCTTATTTTTATCCCCTTAAAATTTTTCATCTGTTCGGATTTCCTAGCTGAAAGTATAGTGATCCGAAAATTATAGGGATCAAAATTTACCTTTTCGAAAATTTCAGCCAGAAAAAAGGCTCCCGAAAATTCTAGGTGACCTTTTTAGGGTAAAAATCCGTTAAAAATGGGCAATACGATTTTTTTGAAGTTCAAAGATCCTAGGAGAGGCAGGCAAGCAAGAAATTTGTCAGAAAATGATCCGAAAATTCTAGACCTCAAATCGTCTTCCGAACAGATAATTTACCGAAAATTGTCGTTGCGTGCCCCTGGTTTAACTTAGAGAATGAGCAGCAACCGATATTTAGTTCAAGCAGTGAAGCTGTTTCACCTTTTTGTGTTAAAAGTTGTGATGACATGCTTCATATGGGTATCTTTGAAAATTTTAGAAAAACTTAAGAATGACAAGAATGTCCTTTGCGCAACATTTCTCGTTCATGGCATAAAGGTATAGTGAGAAAAAAGGAGATGATCAATTTGCGTGAATTTGAAGAGAAATTGTCACTTACTGCAAAGATTTCATGTGAAGTTTTATCTTATAAAGTGCTCCGTAATTAGAAAAAGCTGAAGGGAAAAGTAGTTTATTTTCTTATGCTGTCGTCTGAGGTTCACTTCACTTCACTATTTGTTGTAGGTGTCTTTGTAGCAGCACATGACATGAAGATTGAATGGGTGATCGTCAAAGGTGTTTCTCAATTCGCCAATGACCTCGACCCTCCTAATAATTTGTGGAAGTCGTTTGCCTGCACGATGGCAGCTTCTCTTGTGTTCAACATGTTAAATGACCCTCTCGTTTTTAAAAATTGGCCGCACTTTGACGGTAAGTGTTCGTCTGCTTGGTTGACGGCGTTACGCTGTATAAACCAGGTATATCAACAAGGGTTCGAATTGTCGGATATGTTTGTACAAAAAAGGGGTCCACATTATTGCCATTTGTTCTGGTCACAGGATGTGTAGGGGTTATCCAATGCACCCAAGCCATCCTAAACGAAGGATTCTCTGTTTTAAAGGGGCTGTGTCACGGCAGTCCAGTTCATTCGCCCTCAATCCTATGGAACTTAAAGTAAGCAAAGAAATTACATGACATTGACAAAATCAGAGATCAGAGACAAACAAATATGTCTCCTGAACATTATTTTTGAAGTTGCAAGCAGCAGGGATCAACTTTGAAAAACTGTTAGGCTGAACAGTTTTCAAAAATCCTAATTTCAATCCATTTCAGTCTTCTTCAGTTTTGCCCATCCGTGGCATCTCTTGTTTCTGTTATGTTATTTTAACCTTCCTTTAAATAAAAGCGGTTATTTTTATGTTTCTCTTAATTTAACGGGCATTTTGTAATTTCCTAATTTGACTGAATTTAGTGACACAACTCCTTTAACGTGATGCAATATATGATATAAAATGAACCCGTATAACGGACTGTTTACATTTATAGCGTCTCCCTTAAGATAGTAATGGAGTACTGATCTTCATTCGTTAGCTGGTGCGGGTGTCTGTATTATTACTGGATGTCTTAGCTTGTTAGAGGCGTTTAAAGAGTGGGGAGACATAAGGCTACAAAAGTGGTGAGAATAAAGGGGAGTTCTCCTCTTATATTTCAATTTCATTGCGCTGCACCCACTGTTCCCCCACTATGCAAATGCCTGGAATTAGCTACAGGATTTCCGTTTAAACTTGCTGCTCCGTAAACAAGGTGTTAGCATCGACAGAGGAACGGGGTGTTGACATTCGCTGGTACGGTTATTCACATTTAAGTGTCTGTTCCCTATTGATTTCCGTATTCACCGATTTCTTACTCCATGATGTAATTTTTCCTAGTCATGTTACTGTAAAAATCAAACACTAATATAAAAGGTGAAATTCTGGAACTTCAAATTTTGTATCCAATGGCAAGTTATTTTCTATTCTTAGACAACATAAACGACAATCATGGGGAGGCAAGTAAGGAATTAGGAAAGATCGGAGGAAGGTTGAATGACAACGATTCATCAGGAAACACAACAAAGGGTAAGTTACAACCCTACAAACTTCTCCACGAACGTTTGGTGAGGAAAATAGCAGCTATCAAGAGAGGAATACAATAGAGGTCAAAAGTGTTGAGACCTTTTCAGTAAGCAGTTTCATCAATTTTGAAGGAAGCAGTACAAGCGCGCAAAATTAAAAGATCCTATTGACGTGATGTTGCACATGCATTTACCAGTTATCCAAAGCCTTAAGACTGCATAAAAATGTCTCGCAAAATAACTTTTGTTATATAGTTTTGGGCTTTCATTATTTGCACCCTGATTATGTGCTGTTTTGGCGGTCGAAATAACGCCCAAGTTTAATCCCAAAAAGTCGATTCTGGTATGTCTCAAATTTTAATGATTATACTACATGAAAGAGATGTGATTCTTTTAATTAGCTAGACCTGAAGTTCCAGCTCGGAAACGCTTGCGAAAAATGAAATTTTAAATATAGCCCCTCGGGCCACCGTTAGCGACAAGAACGTGAAATGTAAGCATACCGAAACCCGTGTATAAAACAAAGGAGAAAATCACACCAAAGTTATTTCTAGCCCACCAATTCAAGGCGCAAAGAAATGATGGAAATTTCGGTATCTAAAAAGGCATTGTCCGTCCAAAAATATAAAAAGGAAAAAAAAACCCTGAACAACGAGCAACTGAGAATCGCATCGTAATTCTGAACTCGGAAGCCGATAAAATGCTTCCGCCAGGTCAAGTCCAAAAGGCTTCAAGAACTGTTTTGGAAATGCCCCAATAAACTATCGACAAACTATGCCAGATGATAGATTTACTTTAGTAAAATGAACATGAACATAATATCGTGGGCGAATGAAGACCTTTGAATGCCCGGGTAACAAAAAGCCTCGGGAAATTTCAAAGGAGATTTAAATGATTAAACCGCACAAAGATTTATTTACAAAGCGAGACCAAACCGACAGTAATTTTGTTGCTGGACCGGTAAGAGAAACGATCATTGCATTTTTAAGCTTATGTTTTCCCCCTAAATATTACCAATCGTTTCCTCTGCAAAGCTGATTTTATTCTTTAAACAAAAAAAACCCATCATGACACGTCAAACTTTTATATGGCAGGTTCGTAGATCGAGAGCCACAGGAGTCTGAGAACCGACTCTTCTCCGGAACCTTGATACATGCATAACACCTTAATAATTCTTGCAACATGGAACGACCTTGGGAACGGACCAAGAAACTGTCAAATGTTGGAAAAAAGGGATTCTATTCCTATGCAAAATTAAATACGCATGATTTGCTCGTTACCACTCTATCGATAGGTATACGTAGTATATATATTTTTGCATATGTTACCTCATTATTTTTACTTTCCTTCTTTTTATACCATATATGAAAGGTGTGAAGCCAATAAGAGCCTCCCTTCCTTCAATGGTTCCTAATTTCACTGGGCGACAGAGCGAGGTTGAAGAGATCATCGGACACGTAACTTCCGAATCTACCCGACTGGTGTCGATCTGGGGTTCACCTGGGTTCGGAAAAACATCAGCTGCAATTACAGTGGGACACGCGCTCCAGACTCAAGGGCTACCTGTCTATTGGGTCTCATTACGGGGACTTCAGTCAAAAGCAGATCTGACTTCAAAGTTTCTTTGCCTTCTAAGGAAACCAACCATCGACAATCAACCGTCCGATCGGCGTCTGTCCCTTGACGATGAGATTTGCCAACTATTCAGCGAAATATCAAAAAAGTCTGTATTTATTCTTGATAATGCCGATGATTTGTTAGAAAGTGGTGGGCCAAGAGTGAGGGAAGAGGTCATGCAACTTCTTGAAGAAATACTGAGGCAAAACCCAAGGCTGACATGCATTGTAACCACGAGACAGTCTCTTGAGTTTATGGACATTCATTTTCAAGGCCATCAAGGCTTAAGAATAGGAACATTAGATCAAGCCTCTACACAACGCCTAATTCATGAGTTACTTTCAAATGCGAGCCCAGCGGATTGTACAGAAGTGGCACATATCTGCGGACAAGTTCCTTTGGCCATAAAAATAATGTGTTCTTTGATATCTGAAGATAATGTTTTACCACGCCATTTTCTAGATGATTTCAAGGCGTCCTCTACTGAAAGTATCGTGAGCATGTTGGACAATCAAGATTACCCGGCAAACCATCGATTACAGTTCCTTTTTGACTCCTCTTTCCAGAGACTAACTGCACAAGAACAAGAAGCACTAATTTCTTTGAGCATTCTCCCTGGGAACTTCACTACTGAGGTTGCTGCGGCCGTTTTAGGCACCAAAAGAGGTTTTCAAGCCAAAAGAATGTTACAAAACCTTCGGAGGAAGTCACTGATTGATTCAGGCTCTAAATCCAGGACTTTCACGATGCACAAACTGTTGCAATCATTTTCGAAAAAGAAAGGAGACACTGAGATGAACAAGACGATTCTTAATGCAAAGGGTCGTTTGAATGCATTCTATGTCTCGCACTTTGATAAACTAAATGAACAATTTCTCACCGGGCACTCCATGGGTGCATATATTGCATTTTATGAGGATAAGGAGAGCATTATTCAAAGCCTAGTAGAGGGATGTCTTGACTCCAAAACAGCTGACACTGTCTTTGACATATTGGTCAAGGGAGAGTTGTTTCTTGGCTCGCTTTTTTGGAGCGCAAGTGAAAGTAAAAACTTTTATTACATATACGATATCGCCATAAAAGCAGCCAATCTGCCTGGAAATGAAAAATACCACAGGCAGCTACTTACTTCGAAAGCTTTCGGTCAAGCAACCTGGGGAAAAACAGGACAGACGAATCATCTTCTCTCCAAAGTGAAAGATCTGCAAGCAGCATCGTCCCTTGTTTCTAATCAGGAAAAAGGCAAATGCCTCTGCTATTTAGGAATCTGTTACCTCACAGCAGAAGAAACGAAGAGTGGAGTTCACTGCCTACAGCAGGCGCTTTCATCACTGGAGACTTGCAAAGACCCAGAGTCGATAGTTCTAAAGTTTCTTATTCTTCAGATCCTCGTCTGTTATTACCAGTCCCTAAATAAATTCTCCGATGCAAGTTACTACTATGACAAATCACTACATCTGTCCTCTGCAGTAGGAGATTGCAAGCTGCTTGTTATTCCGCCGATAAAGAGCAAAGCACAAAAAACTACCAATAAAATGCAGTTTGAAAAGGATTCAAACATTTTGCTGAATCAACCTTTCGAATTCCAATTTGTCTCTCTCTTAAGTGCAGCTACAAAGTTTTTCGCTGAGACTAAAATCAAACAAAATACAAGCCACTTGGTTCTTCAAATGTTAGAGTGTCTCGAAAAAGATGTTACACCTTCAATTGGTTTGGTAACTTTTCACACAGCTGTGGTAAAGCTGCTGTGGAGTTTGAATAGTGAAGACCCTGAAAAACTATTTTGGTCAAGAATAAATTATCATGAAAAAACAATCAAGCAGTGCAAAGAAACTTTCCCACATAGTCACGATTTTGGCGATTATGTTCAAATACATATTGAAGCGCTTGTGAACTGCTACTTAAACCTGGGTACAGTTTACCTCAACAGAAAAAACTATTCAGAAGCTCTTCAGTCATACAAGAGAGCGCTGGACACAGCAATAACTTCCTTAGGAGAACAACATGAAAGGACTGCCGTCACCTACAGGGAACTTGGTGTAACACAACACAACATGCATGACTACAGCGCAGCTCTGCAATCTCAGCAGCGTGCATTAGCTATCCGTCGTAAACTGTTTGGGGAAGAACATGAAAGCACTACTGACAGCTACAGGCAACTCGGTGTAACACAAGACAACATGCATGACTACAGCGCAGCTCTACAATCTCACCAGCATGCCTTAGCTATCCGCCTTGAACTGTTTGGGGAAGGACATGAAAGCACGGCTGACAGCTACATGCAACTAGGTGTAACACAACGCAACATGCTTGACTACAGTGAAGCTCTACAATCTCACCAGCGTGCATTAGCTATCCACCTTAAACTGTTTGGAGAACAACATAAAAGCACTGCTGACAGCTACATAGCACTTAGTGGAACACAATACATCATGCATGACTACAGGGCAGCTCTACAATCTTACCAGCGTGCATTAGCTATCCACCTTAAACTATTTGGAGAGGAACATGAAAGTACTGCTGACAGCTACATGGTACTTGGTGTAATACAGGACAACATGAATGACTACAGCGCAGCTCTACGATCTCACCAGCATGTACTAGCTATCCGTATTAAACTATTTGGAAAGCACCATGAAAGCACTGCTGAATGCTACATGGTTCTCGGTGTAACACAAAGCAACATGCATGACTATGGCGCAGCTCTACAATCTCACCAGTGTGCATTAGATATCCACCTTAAACTGTTTGGAAAGGAACATAAAAGGACTGCTGACAGCTACATGGCAGTTGGTGGAACACAATACATCATGCATGACTACAGCGCAGCTCTACAATCTCACCAGCGTGCATTAGCTATCCACCTTAAACTGTTTGGAAAGGAACATAAAAGGACTGCTGACAGCTACATGGCACTTGGTGGAATACAAAACAACATGCATGACTACAGCGCAGCTCTACAATATCAAAAGCGCGCATTAGCTATCCACCTTAAACTGTTTGGAGAGGAACATGAAAGCACTGCTGACAGCTACAGGCGACTCGGTGTAACACAATACAACCTGCACGACTACAGCGCAGCTCTACAATCTCACCAGCATGCCTTAGCTATCCGTCTTAAACTGTTTGGGGAAAAACATGCAAAAACCGCTGATAGCTACAGGCAAGTCAAGATGACTCAAGACGCCCAGCGCGAGAAAGGTGAAAAGAACAAAGAGAAAAATAGAGAAACATGAATAGATCTTTTTTTAAAGCTAAGTGATTCTTCATGTCTAAAAGAATGATGGATTTTGAAATATTATTCATAGGAGCAAGGATATCTTTTAGAATCTACTTTTCAATGTATTTTCTGCTCACTCAGCATGTGAGCATAGAATGGATAGGAAGATGGTTCCGTCAAAACAACGCGCGAGACACGCAAATGACTCGTGCGCACTCCCCTCATTAAATCTGAAGAAAAAGAAGACTGTTTGTAGTCTAGAAGATGATACAGTGGAATCTGCTTTATGGACACCCGTTTAATAAAGGATAGTTTCCTTTGTCCTGACAGTAACTGGTTATTGGAACGGACGGTACTGGTTATTGCAACAGTGTGTGTCTCGAATGACTGGAAACGCTATTAGACACCTTACGTTACGGACACTAGTGATCAGTGCGCCGTATACATCGCACTAGCGACAGCCTAAAAGAGGTGGCCATCGCCTGTAGAAAGGCTGAACAAACGAATGGTGGGTGGGTGGGTGGGTTGGGGGGTAGTGCATTAGCCAAGTCAAAGCTACACTTCCCCCCAGCCCTGTCAGTAAATCGATACTCTATGTGCCAGAGGCTTTTCATGCGCAGTTTTCGGTTTCGATCACGCTCGTGTCTTCGGCCTGCGGCCGACGAAGCTCCTCGCCGCACGCGAGGAAAAACCTCTGGTACCCAGGGTACCTTATCGAGTAAAACTTTAAAATAACCGCTCAAACACAATTAGAAGAAGGTGTAAATGATACAACAAATACGAAAGAAATCAGGGATTGATAAACTTGAAGAAGACTGAAACGGATTTCAATTGTGGCTTTGGAAAACTTGTTGACCTAACAGTTTTTCAAAGTTCCTTTTTGTTGTTTGTAATTAACGATGATGTGTTGGAGACACGAAGCTGTGATTTTGTCATTCAAAGGTATTTTCTCAAGTTTCATAGCGTAACTGTCATTAGCCCGGGACCAGGCTCCGCAGTGAGGGAAAAAGGCAAAAAACGGGGTCAAATAGGAAAAATATCGGCGAAAGAAGTGAGCCGAGGGGTGACCTGGGGAAGGGAAAAGGGCGGCGCCACCCTTTTCCTCTCCTCAGACTGCCTCTCGGCTCGTTTCGCTCGCCGATTTTTTTCTCCTTTTCCCCCCACGGCGGAGCCTGGTCCGAGGCTAAACTGGCATCGATAAACAAAATGACCTCCGCAACAGTGACACTGTCCCTTAAAATAGACATTGAGAAATAGTTAGTGGAGCTTAAGGCCTGGGGCTCAAAGATTCATGTAACAAGAAAATTTACGTCATAGCTTTTCAGTGAGTATATCTCAGTATGTATACAATTATAGATACTCATCCTTCACTCCATTTAAGGGAATAATCCAGCACAGTCTTGGATTCTGGATTCCACGCTGTGGATTCCGGATTCCAGGTACTGGATTCCAGTATTTTTCTGTAAAACTGTAGAATTCTGGATTCCAATTGTTATTGGGATTCCAGATTCCTTGATTTGTATTCCGGATTTCAAAACTCAGGACTCCGGATTCCATAAGTAAAAATTTTCTGGGATTCCGGATTCCGCAACAGGGCTTAAAGTTTAAATTTGAGTTTGGGAGCACTTGTGCTACTAGATGTAAATTTTTGGGCGTACTGCCGAAATTTTAGGTGCACAGCTAAAATTTTAGGAGCACAGCTTATAATGTTGGGAGCATCTATTTCAAAAGAAAAAGTAAAAAGCTTTTAAGCGTTAAAACAGTGCTACGTTTATATGTCATCTTTAGTGTGTTACTTTTATTTCAGTCCCGCGATTGATAAAACACAGCCGATTTTATTTAGCCATAGGTACCACTACCGAAAAAGTTCTTTTACAAATATCTACTTCGTATAACTACTAACTCTTCCCCAATATAAACTACTCCTATAATTTCTTTAAAATCTTTGCTATTGGTCACGTTTTTGTAATGTATCTACAACGTAAAATAATCTCTAAGATATAGTTTTCAGTTTCGTGTAACTGTAATGTTACATTACATTACATGTTTAGTCCAAGAATAATGTCTTAAAGCCATTTTCAGAGCTGCATTACTTGGTTCTTTCTAACCAGAAGTATCAATAATATCCTAATGATTCATTGGAGTGCTGTGGCATGTTTAATCGCTTTCTGTGCAACGGTTTTTAGAGCTAATCATCAAGAATGTTGAGTGTGACATGAAGATAAAGCGGTTTTTGCGTCAACAGATTTAACCTCTTGCGGTGAAAGTC